CGGACCAGCTCGGTCCCTGCCCCAGGCCCGAGCAGAGCACCACGAGGTGCCTGTGCCCCACCTCCAGACACGGCTGCTGGCTGTGTGCAGCCAACAACGGACAATGGGCTCCTTGTTCTGCAACCACCCTGCTGTGCCACGAGTGCTGCCACAGCCTGGGCACATCCTGCTCACCCTGGGTTCATCCTGATCCTTCCAACATCCCTGGGAATATCCTGCTCCTTCCAACGGCCCCAGGCTCATCCTGCTCCTTCCAACGGCCCCAGGCTCATCCTGCTCCTGCTCCTCCTGGGCTCATCCTGCTCCTGCCACAGCCTGGGCACATCCTGCTCCTGCCACAGCCTGGGCTCATCCTGCTCCTGCCACAGCCTGGGCTCATCCTGCTCCTTCCAACGGCCCCAGGCTCATCCTGCTCCTTCCAACGGCCCCAGGCTCATCCTGCTCCTTCCAACGGCCCCAGGCTCATCCTGCTCCTGCTCACCCTGGGCTCATCCTGCTCCTGCCACAGCCTGGGCTCATCCTGCTCCTGCCACAGCCTGGGCACATCCTGCTCCTTCCAACGGCCCCAGGCTCATCCTGCCCCTGCCTCACCCTGGGCTCATCCTGCCCCTGCCACAGCCTGGGCTCATCCTGCTCCTTCCACATCCCTGGGCTCATCCTGCTCCTGCTCACTCTGGGCTCCTCCAGCTCCTTCCAAAGCCCCAGGCTCATCCTCATCCTGCTCCTGCTCCCCACCCTGAGCTCATCCTGCTCCTGCTCACCCTGGGCTCATCCTGCTCACCCCGGGCTCATCCTGCTCCTTCTCCTCCTCCTCACCCTGAGCTCATCCTGCTCCTGCTCACCCCAGGCTCATCCTGCTCCTTCTCCTCCTCCTCCTCCCCACCCTGGGCTCATCCTGCTCCTCCTCACCCTGGCCCCGTGCTGGGGGCAGTTCCTGCCATTGATCTCAGCCCTTTGATGTGGGCTTTGAGCAGGGCTGGCTCCTGCAGGATCCCGAGGGATCCCTCTGAGGGGGTTTTGGGGCTGACATCTCGCTTTGCTCCAGACACCCTGCAGGCTGCTGGCACCTCACCTGGGGGCACGGGGAGCCCGTGGCTGCTCACTGAGCCTCTGGGCAGCCCTGCCAGCTGGGTCACACCGACAGCCGTGGGCACACCCAGCCCAGGGGGCTGCCTGGCACCCCAGCACAGGCAGCTGGTGAGCTGGGTGTGCCAGCTGCTGCTGGAAGGGTTGGACTGGGTGATCCCAGGGAGATCTGGCAGCCTCCACGCCCCGATTCCAGCTGCTGACCCCTCCCACACAGCCCTGCTCCTCTGCTGCACCGGGCCAGGACCTGGGAACGCTGTGTGTGCCCTGCAGGGACCTGCTGGGGTCACCCTGGGGCACAGCACGGGGGGATCACGAGTGTGGGATCATGCATTCCTGTGGGATCACCCATCCCTGTGGGATCACAAGTGTGGGATCACCCAGCCCTGTGGGATCCATCCCTGCAGGACCATCCCTGCAGGATTCATCCCTGTGGGATCACCCTGTGGGATCCAGCCCTGTGGGATCACCCTATGGGCTCCATCCCTGTAGGATCCATCCCCATGGGATCATCCCTGTGGGATCACCCTCTGGGCTCCATCCCTGTGGGCTCCCTCGCTCCCTGCCCTGCCCCACTCCTGCCCAGCACACGAGCAGCAGCTCCAGAGGATCCATCCCCATGGGATCATCCCTGTGGGATCACCCTATGGGCTCCATCCCTGTGGGCTCCCTCGCTCCCTGCCCTGCCCCACTCCTGCCCAGCACACGAGCAGCAGCTCCAGGCAGGGCTGTGCTGCTCTGCCCCAGGCACGGCTGTGCTGCTCTGCCCCAGGCAGGGCTGCCCTCGCTCTGCTCCTGTCCCACCGGGCAGGGCTCTGCCCACCTGAGCAGGTCGGACCAGCTCGGTCCCTGCCCTGACCCCGTCCCACGCTTGGGAGCTGGGACCTGCCCTGGGCTCAGCAGGGCACCGAGCCTGGCCTGGGCTAGCAGGGCACAGGGCACAGAGCCGGCCTGGGTTAGCAGGGCACTAAGCCTGGCCTGGGTTAGCAGGGCACAGGGCACAGGGCACAGAGCCTGGCCTGAGCTCAGCAGGGCACTAAGCCTGGCCTGGGTTAGCAGGGCACAGGGCACTGAGCCTGGCCTGGGCTCAGCAGGGCACTGAGCCTGGCCTGGGTTAGCAGGGCACTAAGCCTGGCCTGGGCTAGCAGGGCACGGGGCACTGAGCCTGGCCTGAGCTCAGCAGGGCACTAAGCCTGGCCTGGGTTAGCAGGGCACAGGGCACTAAGCCTGGCCTGGGCTCAGCAGGGCACAGGGCACTAAGCCTGGCCTGGGTTAGCAGGGCACAGAGCAGGGACCTGCCCTGGGCTCAGCAGGGCACAGGGCACAGAGCCTGGCCTGGGTAGGAGGGCACGGGGCACCGAGCCTGGCCTGGGTTAGCAGGGCACAGGGCACTGAGCCTGGCCTGGGTTAGCAGGGCACGGGGCACCAAGCCTGGCCTGGGCACAGCAGGGCACTAAGCCTGGCCTGGGTTAGCAGGGCACGGGGCACCAGGCACCGAGCCTGCCCTGCTCACCCCAGGGTGCCCTCCTCTCACCACGAGGGTGACCCAGTTACTCCACACCCCGAAACCACCAACACCTGCAGGGAGGAGCAGCTCTCCTCCCGGCCTGCTCAGCCCCCAAATATTTAGGCTCCAGCCCCCAGATTTAGGAACCAGCCCTAGTTTTAGGGTCCAGCCCTCAGCTTTAAGAGCCATCCCCCAAATTTAGGGTCCAGCCCCCAGATTTAGGGTCCGACCTCCAGATTTGGGAGCCAGCCCCAGATTTAGGCTCCACCCCCCAAATTTAAGATGCAGCTCCAGATTTATGGTCCAGCCTCCAGATTCAGGCTCCAGCCCCAGATTTAGGATCCAAAATCCCCAAATCCTGGATAGTTTGTGCTGGAAACTGCCCCAAAGTGCCCCAAACTGTCTCAAAGTGCCCCAAAATCCCCAAATCCCGGCTAGTTTGGGCTAGCAAACTGCCCAAAATTCCTAAATCCCGTCTGGTTTGGGCTGGGAAACTGCCCCAAACTGCCCAAAATCCCCAAATCCTCAACAGTTTGGGCTGGGAATCTGCCCCAAACTGCCCAAAATCTCCAAATCCCGGCTGGTTTGGGCTGGGAAAGTGCCCCAAAGAGCCCCAAAATCCCAAAATGCTCGATAGTTTGGGCTGGGAATCTGCCCAAAAATCTCCAAATTTTCGATAGTTTGGGCTGGGAATCTGCCCCAAAATCTCCAAATCTTGGATAGTTTGGGCTGGGAAACTGCCCCAAAGTGCCCCAAAGAGCCCCAAAGTGCCCCAAGCTCCCCAAATCTCGGCTGATTTGCGGTGGGAATCCGCCCCAAACTCCCCAAAATCCCCAAATCCCGCCTGGTTTGGGCTGGAAAACTGCCCCAAACTGCCCCAAACTGCCCCAAACTGCCCCAGAGTGCCCCAAAGAGCCCCAAAGTGCCCCAAGCTGCCCAAATCCCGGCTGGTTTGGGCTGGGAATCTGCCCCACACTGCCCAAAATCTCCAAATCCCGGCTGGTTTGGGCTGAGAATCTGCCCCAAAGAGCCCCAAAGCGCCCCAAGCTCCCCAAATCTCGGCTGATTTGGGGTGGGAATCCGCCCCAAACTCCTCAAAATCCCCAAATGCCGCCTGGTTTGGGCTGGGAAACTGCCCCAAACTGCCCCAAAATCTCCAAATTTTGGGTAGTTTGGGCTGGGAATCTGCCCCAAACTGCCTCAAATCTCCAAATCCCGGCTGTTTTGGGCTGGGAATCTGCCCCAAAGTGCCCCAAAGAGCCCCAAAGTGCCCCAAGCTCCTCAAATCCCGTCTGCTCGGGCGGTGCCATCCCCGCGGTGCCAGCCCGGTACTGCCATCCCCGCGGTGCCATCCGTTTGGGCTGGGAAACTGCCCCAAAGAGCCCCGAAATCCCAAAATGCTCGATAGTTTGGGCTGGGAATCTGCCCCAAAGTGCACCAAAGAGCCCCAAAGTGCCCCAAGCTGCCCAAATCTCGGCTGGTTTGAGCTGGGAAAGTGCCCCAAAATCCCCAAATCCTCGATAGTTTGTGCTGGAAACTGCCCCAAACTGCCCCAAATCCCCAAATCCCGGCTGCTTTGGGGTGGGAATCTGCCCCAAAGTGCCCCAAAGAGCCCCAAAGTGCCCCAAGCTGCCCAAATCCCGGCTGGTTTGGGCTGGGAATCTGCCCCACACTGCCCAAAATCTCCAAATCCCGGCTGGTTTGGGCTGAGAATCTGCCCCAAAGAGCCCCAAAGCGCCCCAAGCTCCCCAAATCTCGGCTGATTTGGGGTGGGAATCCGCCCCAAACTCCTCAAAATCCCCAAATGCCGCCTGGTTTGGGCTGGGAAACTGCCCCAAACTGCCCCAAAATCTCCAAATTTTGGGTAGTTTGGGCTGGGAATCTGCCCCAAACTGCCTCAAATCTCCAAATCCCGGCTGTTTTGGGCTGGGAATCTGCCCCAAAGTGCCCCAAAGAGCCCCAAAGTGCCCCAAGCTCCCCAAATCTCGGCTGGTTTGGGCTGGGAAACTGCCCCAAAGTGTCCCAAAGTGCCCCAAAATCCCCAAATCCTGGATAGTTTGGGCTGGGAATCTGCCCCAGAGTGCCCCAAAGAGCCCCAAACTGCCCCAAGCTGCCCAAATCCCGGCTGATTTGGGGTGGGAATCCGCCCCAAACTCCTCAAAATCCCCAAATGCCGCCTGGTTTGGGCTGGGAAACTGCCCCAAACTGCCCCAAAATCTCCAAATTTTGGGTAGTTTGGGCTGGGAATCTGCCCCAGAGTGCCCCAAAGTGTCCCAAGCTCCTCAAATCCCGTCTGCTCGGGCGGTGCCATCCCGGCGGTGCCATCCCGGTACTGCCATCCCCGCGGTGCCATCCCGGCGGTGCCATCCCGGTACTGCCATCCCCGCGGTGCCAGCCCGGTACTCACCCAGCTCGCAGCCCGCCGTACCGGGCATGGCTCCGCAGCCCCTCCGCTGCCCGGCCTCCGTCCCCTCCGTATTTAACGGGCGTCCCCTCCCTGCCCCCTTCCCCCCCGAGCAGAGTCCCCGGGAAGGCTCCGAGGCACCTCAAAGGCCGCCGGTGGTTAATTAGGCGCTCATTAAGGCGCTTTGATGAAGCGGCGGCGGCTCCGCTGATGCGGGCCGGACTCTGCTCGGGCAGCCCCGGGACGTGCGGCCGCGACCGTCCCGGGCCACGGAGGCGATAAAAATATATTTGTATGACATAAAAATAAACAGCGGAGTCAGCAAGGCCCGGGCACAGGTGAGGAGGGCACGGGCGGCACGTCCCGGGGCACCGGGAGTCCCCGAGGGGCACCGGGGGTGGCACCGGGAACGGCTGCGGGTGGTTCCCGAAAATCCCTGGGCAGGGTTTGGTTTGTTAGGAACGAGGAAAACAAACATGACCCACATAGGGTGGAAGGCTTGGCTCCCCCGGCTGGAAGGGAGGAGCCGCAGACCGGGGGGGTCCTGCCCGGAGCACCGGGAGGAGAACCGGGAGGAGAACCGGGAGGAGAACCGGGAGGAGAACCGGGAGGAGAACCGGGAGGAGAGGCTGGGGGTGCCGGGGCAGCACGGGGGCACGGCGGCAGCTCCTGCAGGGGGATGGGAAAGGATCAAGCCGCGGAGGAGGCCCGCGGCTCACCCAGCCGCCACCGGGGCAGAACCGGGCCCGGTTGGACGGGGGAGCGCCCGGTTGGGCTGGGCGGAACGAAAATGCGGGGGCTCGGGGCGCGCACGGAATCCCCCCCCAGTGCAGGCACTTCCGGTGTGGCAGCCAATCAGCGCTCGGAGGCGCACGTGACCGCCGCGCCGAGAGCCGCCAAGATGGCGCTGCCCGGGGCCGCGGCCCGGGGGCGGCTCTGGCGCCTCGGCCCCGCCGCCCTGAGCCCCCCGCGGGGCCCCATGCAGCCGCAGCTCGCTCTGGCCGCGTCCAGGTGAGCGGGGACCCCCCGTGCTGCCGGCCGGGTCACGCTCCCCTCAGGGAGACCTAAACACCGGCGGCAGCCCTGGTTAGATACCGGCCAAAACCGACCGCGGTCGTGATCCCTCGCCGAGTACCCCTCCCCTTTACCCCCCTCGCCCTCCGCGGCTCCCCCCGGTGCTCGCCGTGTCCCCCCACGCTGTTTCCCAGCGCTCGGTGCCCCCCGTTATGGCATCCCGTCTCCGTTGCCGCGCTGCCGGTACCGCCCTGCCCGAGCCCGGCACGGGAATACCGGAACCACCGGGGGCCCCTCAGTGCTCCCGGACCCCGATTCGCACTCCAGCACTGCCCCGGGGTGTTCCCAGCTCCTCGGTGTGCCCGGGGCTCGGGGCTGGAGCTCCTTGGTGTGCCCGGGGCTCGGGGCTGGGGCTCCCCGGTGTGCCCGGGTTCGCTCGGGGCTCCCCGGTGTGCCCGGGTTCGCTCGGGGCTCCCCGGTGTGCCCGGGTTCGCTCGGGGCTCCCCGGTGTGCCCGGGGCTCGGGGCTCCCCGGTGTGCCCGGGCTCACCGGCGCTCGGGGCGCAGCTCCCCGCTGTGTTCTCAGGTCCGCTCCCTCTCCTCCCGCGCCTCCTCCCGAGCGCTCGCGGCCGCCGTGGCCGCCGCTGCCCGGCGCGTGAGCGCCCGGTACGAGCGGTACCTGGAGCGGAGCTGGCCCCGCTTCTACCTCCTGCACAGCACCTTCAAAAGCGGTCAGCGCGGAGACGGGAACGGGGACCCGGAATGGGGGGTCTGAGAGGGGGGACCCCGGAATGGGGGGGGTCTGAGNGGGGGGGGTCCAAAAAGGGGTGATGAAGGGGGGGGCTGAAAGGGGGGACCTGAAAAGGGGGTGCTCGAAGGGGGGTCCCAAAAAGGCGGGGTAGTTAAAGGGGGACCTGAAAAGGAAGGGGTTAAAGAGGGGGGTCCAAAAAAGGGAGGTCTGAAAGGGGGGGCCCAATAGGTGGGTCAAAAAAAAGGGGGGCGTCTGTAAAAGGGTGGGGTGTTCCAAAAAGGGGTGCCCCAAGAAAAAGGGGGGCTGATGGGGGAGTCTGAATATCTGGGTCCCAAATGGGGGGTCCCAGCAGGTGGGTCAGGAAAAGGGGGTCTGAAAATCCTGGTTTTTTGGGGGTGTTCCAAAAAGGGGGGTCTCAAGAGGTGGGTGCTGAAAAAGGGGGGCTGATGAGAGAGCCCCAACATCTGGGTCCCAATGGGGTCCCAAAAGGGGGGGTCTCAGCAAGTGGGTGAAGAAAAGGGGGTCTGAAAACCCCACTTTTTGGGGGTGTTCCAAAAAGGGGGGTCTCAAGAGGTGGGTGCTGAAAAAGGGGGGCTGATGAGAGAGCCCCAACATCTGGGTCCCAATGGGGTCCCAAAAGGGGGGGTCTCAGCAAGTGGGTGAAGAAAAGGGGGTCTGAAAACCCCACTTTTTGGGGGTGTTCCAAAAAGGGGTCTCCCAAGATGTGGGGAGTCCAAACATCTGGGTCCTAAATGGGGGTGGGCCAAAAAAGGGGCTTTGAAAGAGGGTGAGGTGTTCCAAAAAGGGGTGTCCCAAGGAAAAGGGGGGCTGATGGGGGAGTCTGAACCTCTGGGTCCCAAAAGAGCTCCTAAAAGAGGTCCCAGTAGGGTGGGTCCAAAAAAATGGGTCTGAATTAACCACTTTGTTTTGGGGTGCTCTAAAAAGGAGTATTCCAAGAAAAGGGGGGCTGATGGGAGAGTCTAAACATCTGGGCCCTAAATGGGGGGGGTCCCAGCAGGTGGGTCCAAAAAAGGGGGTCTGAAACTTTTTTTGGGGTGTTCCAAAAAGGGCTGTCTCACCAGGTGGGTGCTGAGAAAGGGGAGCCCCAACATCTGGGTCCCAAGTGGGGTCCCAAAAGGGGTCCCAGCTGTCAGAAGGACCCGTTTGGGAGTGGGGCAGAGGCTGCAGCCGGGCCGTGCGTGGGGCTGGTCCCTGAGGGAGCCCTGTCCCTGCAGGGGTGCAGGCGCTGCTCCTGGAGGCGCAGGAGATCCGGAGGATCCGGGCCAGGATGGCCCAGCTGAGGCTGAGCCCGCAGCAGCTGCCGTACCGGGACATGGAGCGCCTGCGCCAGGTCAGCCTGGGGCCTGTGTGCCCTCAGCTCGGCGTGCCCTCAGCTCCGTGTGCCCTCAGCTCCTGTGTGCCCTCAGCTCCTGTGTGCCCTCAGCTCCGTGTGCCCTCAGCCCTGTGTGCCATCCCTGCCTCAGCTCTGTGTGCCCTCAGCTCTGCGTGCCCTCAGCTCCGTGTGCCCTCAGCTCTGTGTGCCCGCAGCTCTGTGTGCCCTCAGCTCCTGTGTGCCCTCAGCTCTGTGTGCCCTCAGCTCTGTGTGCCCTCAGCTCTGTGTGCCCTCAGCTCTGTGTGCCTTCCCCCTGCCTCATCCCAGCCTCCCCTCAGCTTGGTCTCTGCCTCACCCCTGCCTCCCCTCAGCCTCTCCTCTGCCTCCCCTCATCTCTGGCTCCCCTGTCTCTCCCCTCTGCCCCCTCTCTGCCCCATCTCTGCCCCATCTCTGCCCCATTTCTGCCCCCCTCTCTGCCCCCCTCTCTGCCCCCTTTCTGCCTGCAGGGAGCAGCTGCAGCCCCTCTGTGCCACCTTCCCTGCCCAAAACCAGGGACTGGCAGCTGCAGGCAGCACGGGGAGGGGGGAATTTGGGGTTTTTGGGGGTTTTTTGCAGTCAGGTGCTGACGTGTCCCCCTGCCCCCCGGGGCAGTTCCGCAGGGACGTGCTCAAGGCCATTCCCATCGGGATCATCTCCATCCCCCCCTTCGCCAACTTCCTGGTGCTTGTCCTGATGTGAGTACCCAGCCCTGGCTCCCTGAGCCCCACGTGCCCTGCACTGGGGGTTTTAGGGGCAGGAAGTGTTTTGGTGTGAGTACTGGGGTGCCCTGAGCCCCAAATCCCCTGCACTGGGGGCTTTTAGGGGCAGGAATTGTCTTGGTGTGAATACTGGGGTGCCCTGAGCCCCAAATCCCCTGCACTGCGGGTTTTTAGGGGCAGGAATTGTCTTGGTGTGAATACTGGGGTGCCCTGAGCCCCAAATCCCCTGCACTGGGGGCTTTTAGGGGCAGGAATTGTCTTGGTGTGAGTATTGGGGGGCCCTGAGCCCCAAATCCCCTGCACTGCGGGCTTTTAGGGGCAGGAATTGTCTTGCTGTGAGTATTGGGGTGCCCTGAGCCCCAAATCCCCTGCACTGCGGGTTTTTAGGGGCAGGAATCTCTCACTGGAAGAACAAATCCCAAATTATCTGCAGTGGGGGTTTTAGAGGCAGGAATTGGTCTGATGTGAGTACCCAGCCCTGGCTCCCTGAGCCCCAAATCCCCTGCACTGGGGGCTTTTAGGGGCAGGAAGTGTCTTGGTGTGAGCATTGGGGTGCTCCTTGGCCTCCCTGAGTCCCAGATTTTGTGCAGTTGGGGTTTTTAGGGGCAGGAATCTCTCCCTGTAAGAACAAATCCCAAATTCCCTGTAGTTGGGGGTTCTAGAGGCAGGAATTGTCCTGGTGTGAGCATTGGGGTGCCCTGAGCCCCAGATTCCCTGCACGGAGGGTTTTCAGAAGCAGGAATCTCTCACTGTAATAACAAATCCCAAATTCCCTGCACTGGGGGTTTTTCTTAATATCTTAATATTTCTGTTACCCCGTTCTTGCTGTCTTGGTATTCAGTTTCTGCGACTCTTCTTTCTTAATTTAGCACAAATTATGTTCCAATAGCCTTGATGAGCTGAGTGCTGGATTGGCAATGTCAGATCTAGGAGCTGAGTGCTGGATTGGCAGTGCCAGCCCCATCTCTGCCCCCTTTCTGCCCCCCTCTCTGCCCCCCTCTCTGCCCCCTTTCTGCCTGCAGGGAGCAGCTGCAGCCCCTCTGTGCCACCTTCCCTGCCCAAAACCAGGGACTGGCAGTTGCAGGCAGCACGGGGAGGGGGGAATTTGGGGTTTTTGGGGGTTTTTTGCAGTCAGGTGCTGACGTGTCCCCCTGCCCCCCGGGGCAGTTCCGCAGGGACGTGCTCAAGGCCATTCCCATCGGGATCATCTCCATCCCCCCCTTCGCCAACTTCCTGGTGCTTGTCCTGATGTGAGTACCCAGCCCTGGCTCCCTGAGCCCCACGTGCCCTGCACTGGGGGCTTTTAGGGGCAGGAATTGTCTTGGTGTGAGTATTGGGGTGCCCTGAGCCCCAAATCCCCTGCACTGGGGGCTTTTAGGGGCAGGAATTGTCTTGGTGTGAATACTGAGGTGCCCTGAGCCCCAAATCCCCTGCACTGCGGGCTTTTAGGGGCAGGAATTGTCTTGCTGTGAGTATTGGGGTGCCCTGAGCCCCAAATCCCCTGCACTGCGGGTTTTTAGGGGCAGGAATCTCTCACTGGAAGAACAAATCCCAAATTATCTGCAGTGGGGGTTTTAGAGGCAGGAATTGTCCTGATGTGAGTACCCAGCCCTGGCTCCCTGTGCCCCAAATTCCCTGCACTGGGGGCTTTTAGGCACTGCGGGCTTTTAGGGGCAGGAATTGTCTTGCTGTGAGTATTGGGGTGCCCTGAGCCCCAAATCCCCTGCGCTGGGGGTTTTTAGGGGCAGGAATCTCTCACTGGAAGAACAAATCCCAAATTATCTGCAGTGGGGGTTTTAGAGGCAGGAATTGTCCTGATGTGAGTACCCAGCCCTGGCTCCCTGTGCCCCAAATTCCCTGCACTGGGGGCTTTTAGGGGGAGGAATTGTCTTGGTGTGAATACTGGGGTGCCCTGAGCCCCAAATCCCCTGCACTGCGGGTTTTTAGGGGCAGGAATCTCTCACTGGAAGAACAAATCCCAAATTATCTGCAGTGGGGGTTTTAGAGGCAGGAATTGGTCTGATGTGAGTACCCAGCCCTGGCTCCCTGAGCCCCAAATCCCCTGCACTGGGGGCTTTTAGGGGCAGGAAGTGTTTTGGTGTGAATACTGGGGTGCCCTGAGCCCCAAATCCCCTGCACTGGGGGCTTTTAGGGGCAGGAAGTGTCTTGGTGTGAGCATTGGGGTGCTCCTTGGCCTCCCTGAGTCCCAGATTTTGTGCAGTTGGGGTTTTTAGGGGCAGGAATCTCTCCCTGTAAGAACAAATCCCAAATTCCCTGTAGTTGGGGGTTCTAGAGGCAGGAATTGTCCTGGTGTGAGCATTGGGGTGCCCTGAGCCCCAGATTCCCTGCACGGAGGGTTTTCAGAAGCAGGAATCTCTCACTGTAATAACAAATCCCAAATTCCCTGCACTGGGGGTTTTTCTTAATATCTTAATATTTCTGTTACCCAGTTCTTGCTGTCTTGGTATTCAGTTTCTCCGACTCTTCTTTCTTAATTTAGCACAAATTATGTTCCAATAGCCTTGATGAGCTGAGTGCTGGATTGGCAATGTCAGATCTAGGAGCTGAGTGCTGGATTGGCAGTGCCAGCTCCTGAGGAGCTGAATGCTGGATTGGCAGTGCCAGACCTGGAGCTGAATGCTGGATTGGCAGTGCCAGCTCTGGGAGAGAGTGCTGGCTTGACAATGCCGGCTCTGGAGCTGAGTGCTGGATTGGCAATGCCAGATCTGGAGCTGAATGCTGGATTGGCAGTGCCAGCTCCTGAGGATCTGAATGCTGGATTGGCAGTGCCAGCTCTGGAGCTGAGTGCTGGATTGGCAGTGCCAGACCTGGAGCTGAGTGCTGGATTGGCAGTGCCAGCTCCTGAGGATCTGAGTGCTGGATTGGCAATGCCAGCTCTGGAAGCTGAGTGCTGGATTGGCAGTGCCAGCTCCTGAGGATCTGAGTGCTGGATTGGCAATGCCAGCTCTGCAGCTGAGTGCTGGATTGGCAGTGCCAGCTCCTGAGGAGCTGAGTGCTGGATTGGCAGTGCCAGCTCTGGAGCTGAGTGCTGGATTGGCAGTGCCAGCTCTGGAGCTGAGTGCTGGATTGGCAGTGCCAGCTCTGGGATGTCTCCACAAAAGAAAGAGGGAACCCCCTGGAGCCCCCTGCCCTGCCCTTCTCTCCCTGAATCCCCTCTCCTGCCTCTCCCCAGGTATTTCTTCCCTTGGCAGCTGCTGATCAGGCACTCCTGGATGCCCAGGTGGAGTTTCTGGATGCCCGAGGAGGAGATTCAGGAGGGTCTAGGAACTCCAAGAAAATAAAGGACATTCTAATTCCTGTGGCAGCTCCACTCACTGCCACTCCGAGGCCACATCCAGCCTCATTTCAGGAGGAAAACTTCTGGATTAATGCAAAATCAGGGAGGGCAGTGACTCAACTGTCTCCAAAAAAGAAAGTGGGAACCCCCTGCCTTGCCCTTCCCTCTCTGAATCCCCTCTCCTGCCTCTCCCCAGGTATTTCTTCCCTCGGCAGCTGCTGATCAGGCACTTCTGGACGCCCAGGCAGCAGCTGGAGTTCCTGGATGCCTACGACTGCCGCCGCAGGGCCTCGTACCCGGCCGTGCTGCGGGCGCTGGCGCGGGCAGCGCGCTCCCTGCCCGAGGCCCAGCCCCAGCAGCTCCTCCTGCAGCTCTGTGCCCAGGTCTGTGCCCCCAGCGCTGCCCCACCCTGTGTTCTGGTTTAAAAGCAAAAGCAGTGAGAGGCTCTGAGTCAAAAATACTATTTATTAGGGGAAAAAAACCCAAAATACATGCAGTAACACAAAAGAAAAACCACTGACAGAGTCAGAACATGACCTGACACCTGTGGGTCAGGGTGTTGGTAGCAATCCAGGTGGAATTGTGGCTGCAGCCCTCCTGGAGTGTCAGGTGTGGTTCTGTTGGAAACACCTCCCAGGTACCCCATCTCTGAGTCAGAAAAAAGCTTAATTCAACAGGGGAGGTGTTGTACCTTGTGAAGCTTGACCTAGAACAGAGACTGGAGTTAAATAATAAAGCTGGGATTTATTACGAGGCCTCAATAGATCCACCTTGGGCAGCACAAGAGCCTAGCCAGGGTTATACCCAAGATGAACCTAAAATGGTCACAAAATGAACCCAAGATGAACCCAAAATGGTCAAAAAATGAACCAAAGAGGAACCCAAAATGGTAAAAAAATAAACCCAGAATGAACCCAAAATGGTTACAGAAGAAAAACCACTGACAGAGTCAGAACATGACCTGACACCTGTGGGTCAGGGTGTTGGTAGCAATCCAGGTGGAATTGTGGCTGCAGCCCTCCTGGAGTGTCAGGTGTGGTTCTGTTGGAAACACCTCCCAGGTACCCCATCTCTGAGTCAGAAAAAAGCTTAATTCAACAGGGGAGGTGTTGTATCTTGTGAAGGCTGACCTAGAACAAGATTGGCATTAAATAATAAAGTTGGGATTTATTACGAGGCCTCAATAGATCCACCTTGGGCAGCACAAGAGCCTAGCCAGGGTTATACCCAAGATGAACCTAAAATGGTCACAAAATGAACCCAAGATGAACCCAAAATGGTCAAAAAATGAACCAAAGAGGAACCCAAAATGGTAAAAAAATAAACCCAGAATGAACCCAAAATGGTTACAGAAGAAAAACCACTGACAGAGTCAGAACACAACCTGGTACCCTGTCGGCAGCAGTCCAATTGGAATTGTGGCTGCAGCCCTCCTGGAGTGCCAGGTGTGGTTCTGTGGAGCAGGGATCCTGGAGAAGGGTGTAGTCTTCCTCTGAAGATCCAGTGGAAGAGGCAGCTGCTCCTCTGGGAATGCAGTGGACAAGCTGCTCTGCTGTCCCAGATACTCAGATTGTATCCAGGCAGGAATGTTTGAAATCTCAGATTGTATCCAGGCAGGAATGTTTGAAATCTCAGATTCTATCCAGGTAGGAATGCTTGGCTCCTCCCCTGGGTGGAGCATCTCTCAATGGGATGATGGAATTTGATCAGTCGTGCAGGGACACTCACTGGCCCATGAACAGAAGATAATTAATAATTAATGGCCCATGAACAGGAGATAATTAATAATTAATGGCCCATTAACAGCAGGTATCTCCTGGAGAGAGGATTGGTTGTGGCAGAGATAAGGAAAACTGCCCAATGAACAGCAGATAATGCCCCACCTCTGACAGATGACAAATAGAATACACATTGCCCTGTGTTCACAAAATGAACCCAAGATGAACCAAAATGGTTAAAAAAATGAACCAAGATGAACCAAAATGGTCACAAAATGAACCCAGAATTGTCGTAAAAATGGATGACTTGTCACAGGGTCTCTCACTTTTATAAGTTCTGCTCCATTTGCATATTGGAGTTAATTGTCCAATTACACCTTTAGGTTATGAGGTCCCATCCTGTTTTTCTCTCTTCAGCCCATGCTGTTTGTGCTCTTGGGGCTGAGATTTGGATCACTTGTCCTTGGTCCCCAGCTGGAGCAGGAATTGTTTTGTTTTCCTACTCTGTGCAGAGAGCTCAGCATCCCAAAGTGTGAAACCCAGACCCACAGAGTAAAGCAGAACAGAACCTGAAAAAGAGAAAATCTCAAACCTGAGGCATCAGCGCCTGTCTGAGGTGTCACCTGTGCTCTCTGGGGCTCTTGCAGGTGCAGGGAGGAGCCCAGCCCCGCCTGGCCCAGCTCCTGGCTGTGAGGAGTTTGTTCTCGGGGTCCCTGCTGGTGCTCAACAGGCTCCAGGTGGATCATGTGGTGAGTTCAGCTCAGCCCAGGTGCTCACCTGCTCGGGTGTGCCCCAAAACCAGTCCAGGGGCAAAGGGAAAGCTGCAGAGGTGCCCTGGGCTGGGGGATCCCCATCCCTGGGGGTGTTTGGGGTCCTGGGCATGGTGGCAGCAGGGATGGGGGGCTCAGGTGAGACCCCACGTGCAGTGCTGCCTCCAGCTGTGGGTCCCCCAGAATTAGGAGGATGTGGAGCTGCTGGGAACGGATCCAGAGGAGGATTTGGGGAAGGAATTCCTCCCTGTGGAGGTGGGAAGGCACTGGGAGGGATTTCCCCATCCCTGGAAGTGTTCCAGGCCGGGTTGGAGCCAGGTGGAAGTGCCTGAATGGGCATTCAGGGTGTAATGGCATCATCTGAATGGCTTTCAACTTGTAGCAAATTTGGCCCCTGTGCTGCTGTCCATCCTTTAAAGGAGGGTGGCAGAGACCTTGGGCATGGATTGCATTCCCAACCCACATCAGCGCACACTGAAACTTCCCTGGAAGTGTTCCAGGCCGGGTTGGAGCCAGGTGGAAGTGCCTGAATGGGCATTCAGGGTGTAATGGCATCATCTGAATGGCTTTCAGATGATCAATCAACTTCCAGAACCTTCCATCTAATGCTATAACAGCATGGAGTTGTTTGTGTCTTTTGAAAAATTTGTTGCAAGCAGCAGGTTTAAAAAGAATGTTCCACACTTTCTGCAGAGATTCATTACAGTGTAATTAAGTAACCAAAAACCAGCAAAAAATGAGTGATATCAGAAGCTCACAACTTCATGGCTTGGTTTGAACAGACAGGTGTGTTTGCTGAGGAAGGCAGGAGCTTCCTCTGAAATGAAAAATGTAAAGCCCCTCCCTCTGAATTGTTATAAATTTGAAATTAAGGGGCTCTCAGGCAAAGATATGGGAGCAGGAATAACACTTCATCATTAGGGAAGGAAAAAAAAAATTAAATGAAATTAAATGATCGATGCAGTAATACAAACCAACCCTGCCAGAGTGAGAGCAGCCCTGTCCCCCTGTGGGTCAGGGTGGTGGCACAGTCCCATCCCATGGGGGCTCAGCCCTCCTGCAGTGCCAGCTGTGCTTCTGCTGGAGCAGGGATCCTGCACAAGGGGGGAGTTTTCCTCTGCAGCTCCAGGGCTGCTGCAGATGGGCCTGCTCTCCCTCTGGGAATGCAGGGCAGGAGAAAGCTGCTCCTCTGGGAATGCAGTGGGCAGAGGCTGCTGTGCTGTTCCAGGCTCAGATTGGATCCAGGTAGGAATGCTTGGCTCCTGCCCTGGGC